TCACATTGTGTCTCTCTAAATAATATACTGCTTACCGTTTTGTTCTTTTTTTGTAAAGTGTCCTGAGGTACATTTTGTCAGTATTTGGGGCTATATAAATTAGGGTTGTCACGATACCAGAATTTGAAAGTTCAACATGATCCCTGTAAAAAATGAAGACGATAGTAAAAAATCCTGCAGTTCCTGGAGTGTCCACTAGAGGCTGGCTGCAGAAGCACAGGCAGTCACATACACACCCATTCTAAAAAGCCTGTTTTTACAGCAGAGATGAACATGTTTACAGCCTGGTTCAAAAAACCAAATAGGTGTGATTAGCTCATGTCTGGATGGACACACACTGTACGGGGGGTGAATGTTTTGATGACTCATCAGTTTTGATTTGATGAAGGATAAGAGTTATTCACAATAAGGCGTGTAGCTGACCTGATTGACAGGTGGGCGCGGTGTAACGGTTTGTCAGGAGGTTTAAAACCCGCCTCAGCTCCAGCTCTCAGCCTGTCGTTAGGTTGACTGAAAGTTAGACTGAGACAGCATTTCCAGCATGGAGACCGCCATCGATGGGACTCCAGCGCCCCCTGCAGGGACAGAAGGGTGACGCCACTCAGGCTTTGTCCAGTAATATGGGTATGGCTATGGGTAAAGCAAACAAAGGAATGGGTAAAGAAAACAAAGGAATAGAAGCTCAGGTATGACCCTTTAAGAGTTTCCCTTCATGGAGGTTAAATGAAAGTCATCAGTATGTGAATGACTGCTTCACTGTGTGTTCTTTAAGCTGACATCTGTGAACATCGTAATTCCCAGAAACATGCTCTAATATGACAGAAAGCCAAGTGTGTGAGTTCAAACCTCTCTGTGCGTGTCTGTGAGTGAAATAGCTGTAGGGCGGAGGCACTCGTCTGTACATTAGCGACTAATTGGTGTAGACATGACACAAGTTGTATAATTGTGTGTGCGTGCTGCAAGGTGGTTTGTAGAAGAGTTATTTGTTTGTGTTCGCTCAGCTCCACTCAGCTTACTGTCTTCATCCGTTTCATCATCCAATTAGTTCCCGTGTAATAAAAGACAACACAACTATCAAGTGCTGTATCCTTCATGTGCACAGCAGAGCTCGTTAATGACTTTAAAAGACAGTAATGTCAGCAAAATGAAGAATCAAGGACGTAACACTCGACTCAAATCAACATTAGTGATGCAAATGGGAAAATTAAAGACATTTACAACAGTAGATGATGCAATTTAAAAAATTCATAAAGCTCTTTGTTTGCCTTTTTTTTGTCATCGCTGCCTGGAGACATGAGATCATCCTCTTCCTGGTGATGCAGACACTCAGTACGTTTACATGCAGTTATATCGAGCTACGCTTAACAGTCACATATTGTGCCAAATCCTCTTCACCATGTTTCTCTAACACTAATATGTGCCCCTAGTCTGTCTACAAACCCCCCAATGATGAGAAAAGTCCATCCTCTCCGTCTTTTGTCTGCTCTACTTTTCCATCTGACCCCGAAAAGTCGCCTCTTTGATGGGCTGTAGACGCAAGCAGAGTCAAGTTATCGCAAATATTACTGTACTGCAACACCTGTTGGTTTGACCTGATAACTGCTCTCATATCTGGCAAACCGAGGGGCGTCCAAAACGGCCGTGTGGGGGTGTCTTAAAAGCTCCTACCTTCTCTGGTCCAAACAAATCCAGAGCATTCAGGAGCAGAATCTAAAGTTAGAAGGAGGACATACTGGCTGCTGCATTGTTGTCAGAGAAGCCAGCACTTCAACATAGCATGTTTCCTTAATGATCAGAGAGTAAGATACCTTTATCATCTCACTCTCTACACATCTCACCGATTGGATCTTTAAATCCTTATTTACAGGACTTTATATAGAAAGTTGTATCATTAATGTTTCTCTACGTTTCCTGCATGTGTGTATTTGTGTTTAAAGACATGTTGTGAGTAAAAAAAAAAAAAAGACAGTAACAGTGAAAGTTTGAGGGAGAAAATGAAAAAAAAAAAAAGATGAAGCCTTTTGCTCTTTTGTGAAGTTGCTGCTGCTTTGTTGCCGTGGGACCGAGCTAGCCTTCAACCTGAGATTGGGGGCACTTGCCTGCTGAAATTGGGGCCAGAAGATGGCATTTTATCCGAAAATACACTCAGAGCTGCTCTGGGCTGACAGGAGCTTTGGCGCTGTGGTGACAGGCGGATGCATGCGCCAGATCACACACATCCGGATCAGGAAAGTGAAGGCCAATTAGGAGCAGCACACACCAAAGACTCGGAGTCCCCGCCAACACGCAGAATGTGTGACCTCTATGACAATACCAAACCCAAAAGTTTTGTTTTTTTGTTCATCGCTCCTCTCCACCTGCTCCTCTGAGGATGTTTTCTCTCCATTTAAATCTAATTTATTAGCAGAATAACACAAGACAATAATGAGGAGTGAGAGGCTGAGGAGTTCAAAAGAGAAAACAAAAAATAAATAGATGAGGACATGAGAGAGAAAACATATTTTAGGAAACATAATTCTGGTGGAGTTTAGTATCAATGAAGCACCTTGAAAAAAAATTAAAAATTAAAAAGCAATTTATCTTCCATGCTCGGACGAAGAATACCATTTTCTAGAATAAATGAGAAGGTTTACCATAGAACCAGTACCAGGAATAAACCTCATGGGGTGTACCTGCTCCACTTTTCAGAAAATGTGTGCTCAAACAGGCTGTTTGGAGATTTTCCCTTCATGACATCACAAAGGGCAGTAGCCCCTCCCCCAGGTGGGTGACACTCCCACAGCTAGGTGTTTGTTCTGCCCTCTGAGTCTGCCTTCTCACCGTAAACAATAGGACATGGAGCGAGAAAGACACCCAAGACCTTCCAGAGAGGGGTTGTGGTCAGACACAGCTCATTTACATATTTAAAGGTACAGACACAGAAACAGCCTGTTCTGAGTAGGGCTGAAATAAAGGCATGATTTTTATTTTCAATAAACTGCGACCTTGCAGGATGCATTTTTTGGGTGAATTGATTGTAATGATTTAGTTTTTTGAAAGAAGAACCATATTGTCTTCTCTGCCTCGTGTTATTGATAATTGATAATAATAATAAGTTACACTTTATTGATCCCGCGAGGGGAAATTCGTTTTTACACTCTGTCTAGTAAACATGCTACACAAACATGCACAAACAGGATCCTATGGACATGCACTAATGGAGAGGTCTCAGAGGGAGGGGGCTGCCCACAGCAGGCGATCCTGAGCTGGTGGGGGGGTTGGGTGCCTTGCTCAAGGGCACCTCGGCCGTGCTCAGGAAGTGGAATTTCCGGACTTGGTCCGTGCCGGGACTTGAACCAGCGACCCTCCAATTCCCAACCCAGGTCCCTACTGCCGCCCCAAATGTTTAAAACAACAAAAAATTGTGTTTACAAGGAGTCTGAAAGTCCCCATGAAACCTCACTTTAAGCTCATAAAGTTCTCGCTCTTTTCGGCAGCCTGTGAACTTCCAGCGATGCCACTCACCTCCAGCTTAACATTTGCTGTGTTTTTTTTTTTTTAAAAGGCACTGAAGCAGCTCTGAGGATGACTGTGGGCCGCTCTCGCTCCGAGCTGTGGTCGGAGTGAAGGAATGAAGAACAGTGAAGCTGACAGCTTTGTACTTAGGGGAGGAGTTGTGGTAGCTGCTGTCACACTAACACAACTAGCAGAGCCATCACGGTGAGGCTGCGACAGCGTGACAGACACGCACTCCAGGCTCTGTTTTGGTGTGGCTGTGTGGCACAGAAACACACAAGGTGCACGGTGGCTCGATGTTGCAGCGAGGTTAGAGGTGTTCAGTACAGTTTTAAGGGTCAGTTTGAGCCCGGCACTATTCAACAAGCTGCTAAAAGTAGACTCAGAGACTCAAGTGAAAGACACAATCCTTCACAGATACTTTTTAAAAAGCTCTTCATGTTAATTAAAGAAATATGCATAATCCTCGACTGGCTACTTGAAGACTGCAGCTGCTTCTCTCTTCATCTCTAAATCAATTTTGGCAGTGGAGCAAACTTAGCATTCATTGTCTGCACTTGTCGATGTTGTAATTAATTCCCTTATTTACTTGTTTGTTATCTATGATCTATTGGCCCACATTTACCAGCTTCTGCAGTTACTTTATATAAGCCAATTGTCTACAGTTCCCCCTTCTCCCCTCTGTATCGCATCAAAATCTGTTTATCAGAACTACACACGCCATGACTTTAAACACTGAACACATAAAATCACACGTCAGATGCAGAATCTCGTTTTGACAAGCTGCTACTGCAGGTGCACCCCATGTCGGGTCGAGGGTTCAATCCCCAGCTCCTGCAGCCACATGTCCGACGTGTCCCCGGGCAAGACTCTTAACCCCAAGTTGCTCCTGCTGCTTCATCAGCGGTGCATAAATGTGTATGAATGGATGAGTAAATACTGATGGACTCTTTACTCAGCAGCCTCTACCATCAGTGTGTGAATGCGTAGGTGTGAAAACGCTTTGAGTAGTCAGAAGACGAGAAAATAAATATACAAGCTCAAAACCATTTACCATCAACATTCACACAGGCATTAGCGAGGCTCTGACTCGGTCAGGAACAGTAAAATAATCACATTTGAGGATTAGTTGGACAAACCTCTAATTTGGCCACACACCCTCAAATTATTTTTTGTTCACACCAAAGAGCAAACCTGACTCCTGTGTTCCAAGCTCTGATTTATCTGCAATCTAATTGGTTACAGGTGTATAATGATGTTTCTACATGTAGAGAAGTGTGTGCAGTATTTTGAAAAACATGATGCTGAGAATGTCTGCAGAAATGTTTCTGCTTGTGTGTCAACATTTGTTTATAAAAAGGAGGGATCTTTTTGTTATATAAGTGATCAGCCATGCTGGGTACAAACAAAGGGGGGCTGCAGTCAGTCTGTAGGAGAGTCGATGTGTTACCTTGAGAGGTAACAGGTCACTTCCTGAGCAGATAAATGAGGAAAACTACGAGGACTCATTCCTCTCAGGCTCCTTTATTTATTTACAAAATATGAAATGACACACGGTATAAGAACAGGTGAAGTGTTCTCCTGTCAGACGATCTACAGGCTGTGTCGTATGGTTCTGTTCTTCAGGCTCTGGACGTACTCTTTGGCCTGGTCGAAGCTCGTCCTCTCCTCCGTTTGCGGCGGCGAGCCCTCCACCAGTTTTACAAAGTAGTGACAGTAAACTTTGTCCATGATGCCGTACATGCCGCGACCATGGTAACGTACCCGCTTCAGGTACTTCCCTTTGCCGGAGTTCGACTCAGCTGGAGGAGAGGAGAGGAGGAGGGAGGAGAGAGGGGAGGAGAAGAGGAGAGGAGGAGAGAGGAGGGGTGGAAGAGGGGAGGAGAGAGGAGAGGAGGAGAGGAGGAGAGAGGAGAGAGGAGGGGTGAAAGAGGGGAGGAGAAGAGGAGAGGAGGAGGGAGGAGAGAGGAGGGGTGAAAGAGGGGAGGAGAAGAGGAGAGGAGGAGAGAGGAGAGGAGGAGAAGAGGAGAGAGGAGAGAGGAGGGGTGAAAGAGGGGAGGAGAAGAGGAGAGGAGGAGAGAGGAGAGGAGAGGAGAGAGGAGGGATGAAAGAGGGGAGGAGAGAGGAGAGGAGAGAGGAGGGATGAAAGAGGGGAGGAGAGAGGAGAGGAGAGAGGAGGGATGAAAGAGGGGAGGAAAGAGGATAGGAGAGAGGATAGGAGAGGAGGGATTAAAGAGAGGAGGAGAGAGGAGGGATTAGGAGATAAGGTAGAGTTTAACTCGTTTCACTTGATGAAGTTCCCTTTAATGGAAACTGGTCTAAAAAAACAAAGACTGCGCCGGCTTATCTGTAACAGCGTCTGCAAATAAACGACTGACTCTGCACTCGTCTGATACTCGACACTAACACAGATTTAAAATAAGACATGCTCACACTCCGACGTCCAACATGTGGTGGCAGCCCGTCCGCGCTGAGACACTTACCCACATACAGGTTGGATTTGTACTCTACGTTGTGATTTTTCACCGCCATCTCCTGAGCTTCCAGAAGAACCTGAGCGAGCAAACACACAGGAAGTGACATTGAGACAAAGGCTGTAACGGGACGTTGTGAACACGCACGCACGCACGCACGCACGCACGCACGCACGCACACACACACACCTCTTTCATGATTTTGGCTCCCTTCTTGTCGTTGAACTCCAGCTGTGCGATGGCCTGGTCGATGCTCATCCCTCGGATCTGTGAAGGAGAATAAACAGTGAGCTGAATCAGCAGCGTTACAAGTTGCTCCGGCGCTTCACACGGCGAGTGGAGCAGGAGTAACAAAGTCAAACAGAAAGGTTTACTGCTCGCTGTTGTTGTACCATCTTAGCCAGGTACCACATCTTGTCTTTACTGTATTTAATCTGCCGCCTGCTGTGGAAGATCTCCTGAAGAGAGAGAGAGAGAAAGGTTGAGGTGAGTTCTGGTTAAGGTCGCTGCGTACCTGCAGACGGTAAAGTTGGTGCCTTCTTGGCTCATGTAAATGAAAGACACCAAATCCCAGAATGCACAGCACCGCAGGCCACTCCCACTAAGGTCCTCTAGTTCAGAATCAGAATCAGAACGCTCTTCCAAGCTATATGGCGGACGTTAAGTTTCGATTCTGGGAGTGAGTTCCCACCCACTGATCTGTGATTGGTCTGTAGCTTCAGTGGTCGAGGAGGAACTAGCGTTGTAGTTTCACCCCGCTAACAGCAACAGCTTCCAGTGACGCAAAAATCATCATTTAGCGTCACTGGAAGCTCCTTTACAGACTCAGAAATACAAAGATTTCTCATCTCAGGGGAAAATGAGGGCGGGATGCACGACCATTCAAAAATCCTACCAGGTTTCTAATGATACAAAGATTAATGCAGATGGGTGAAGTATCCCTTTAAGAACAGCTGTTTGTTTCTGCCCACTCGCTGTCAGGATGTCAGCTGTGAAGGTCTTGTCAGTTATTCTTGTTCTGATGCTGCAGTATACTGACTCAGATTCTGGGACGGAAACACTGAACACATTTTAAGGTCGACGTCGAGGCTACGCGCCGTCTGGACAATATAATTAAGCATGTGACCGGGACGTCACAACACTCCACACTTAACGTGACCATCATTCAGACTCACTGCTGGTCTGCGCGGTTCATCCGGCAGCTGAGGAGGATACACGGTCAGGTTCCTCTGGTCCCAGCTTCTGAAGTCCAGTGAAGCGCTCGTGTGTAGACATGAGATCCGCTGGGGACCGAGAAGCAGGAACCTGGAGGCAGAAATGAAAATGATCATTTTGTTTATATTTCTCTCTCTCAGCTCTGACTGACACAAGAAGGTCAAGAAATAGGTTTAGAAGTTAAATAAAGAAAGTGTGACTGTTCTGTACAGTAGATGTCGCCACCTTGAGCTCCAGCATGAAAACAAAACAAACTGCTGTTAGGCCACGCCTCCTCCGCTCTTTAGTTAGCTCGTAGCTTAGCATTTCATGTAAACTGACACAGAATGAGCGTGATCTAAAAACTCTTACTAACATCCAAATAATCAGTGAGTATGTTCTTCTTCTTCTCTCTAGTTCTTGACTAAAACAGCTTTTATACACAAGGGGAGGAGCCGGCCGTCCCGTCCATGTAAACACGGCTCTGACAACAACACAGCCAGCGGGACTCGAGCTTCTCCCTCATTGTAGACAGTCAGGACTCAGAGACACATTTACACAGGACAGACTTCATGATTCACACTTTCTTCCTTTAATAAGACTGACAGGTGTTATGACGAATCGTGTTACCGTGCTGCTTTGTGCAGTCTTTAAAAACGCTCCTGTCTCTTTAAGTGGAAACACAGAGAGCTGTGGGAGCAGATCTCGACGTAACACCGGTCAGCAGCCGTTTGTCCTTCTGCAGAGTCTCACCTGTGTTTAAACGTGCTTACCTGTGACGTAACCCTTCAGATATGTTCCTCATGAAAGCGACACCTGAAAACAAGTATAAATCAGTTAAAGCAGTGTCTTTAAACACGTTTAGTTAGAGAATATATCAGATTTGTTTCTTCATTTCCTCACCGCGTCCTGTCATTGCAGTCGCCATGTTGTAATTTTGCGACAGTACAGTGTTCACTTTACTGTAATGACGTAAAGCGTAAATAAATAACTTTATATTTTGGAAGGATTTTATATTAACGATATTTTATTTTATTATGGTAAATGTATTCTGCTTTATTTTGTCATGTTGTTTCCTAAAGTGAAGTTTAAAAAAAAACGCATTTGTTTTTAAGCATACTCGAGGTAGTTTGAACCAACCAGGACTCCGTACTCGGCGTTGGTGATATTTACGACACCATGCTGGTCGTACGGCCGTGGATGTAGTTGCTACGACAGGGAAGGTACCATGTGAGAAGTTAGTTTTGGCTTCATCAGACTGTTTAAAGGAGAATTAGTGAAGATTTAAACAGTGAGAAGGATCATGAACGAGAGGTCACTTCCCGCGTCTCCCAACTGGTACTGCTCGCGCTGCAGTGACGTCAGCAGCAGTGGTTTACTGGGAGTGGGAGCTAAGAACAACATCTATCTGATCGATGTGTCTGCATCCTCCTGCAGGGTCACAGGTGAGTCTGCTGTCCACATCAAGGTGATCAGGTCTACAGGTGATCAGGTCTGCAGGTGATCAGGTCTACAGGTGATCAGGTGTGCAGGTGATCAGGTCTGCAGGTGATCAGGTCTGCAGGTGATCAGGTCTGAAGGTGATCAGGTCTGCAGGTGATCAGGCCTGCAGGTGATCAGGTGTGCAGGTGATCAGGTCTGCAGGTGATCAGGTGTGCAGGTGATCAGGTCTGTAGGTGATCAGGTCTGCAGGTGATCAGGTCTGCAGGTGATCAGGTGTGCAGGTGATCAGGTCTGCAGGTGATCAGGTGTGCAGGTGATCAGGTCTGTAGGTGATCAGGTCTGCAGGTGATCAGGTCTGCAGGTGATCAGGTCTACAGGTGATCAGGTCTGCAGCTCGTGTTGTGGTGTAAGAGGAGAGAAGGGGGACCAGAATGAAGCACGCCATTTTCGATCTATTTTAATGTTATATTGTTAATAAACTCATCATTCAGAAATAAAAAGTCAAATAAATCTTTAATCTTCAAAAATAATCTGCAATTAATAAAATTCTACAATTTATCCATCAGAGAGTTAGAACAACAAAAGCAAGGATCTCAAACAAACAGCTTTAAGTCTGATCGGACACACAGGTGCTGACAGGAAGTGACCACAGGTGCTGACAGGAAGTGACCACAGGTGCTGACAGGAAGTGACCAGAGGCCGAGCACGACATCAACAGCAGTTCTTGAGAGCTCTAATCAGTATAGAAACCATCTTATAAGTCGTCGTTATCAAACAAAAACCATCGTCATCATCATCATCATCATCAATAATATGGAGACCATCATCATTAAGTTAGTAGGTATTCATGAAAGAGCTGGCTCTTTAGCTTTTTCTTAAAGGTTCAGAGAGACTCTGCAGATCACATGGAGTTTGGAAGTTCATTCCACCACCGGGGGGCGACAGAGGAGAAGAGTCTAGTCAGAGACTTAGGACCCTGTTGTGAAGGTTGGATCAGACGCCTTTCATTGGCAGAGCGTAGTTGGCGGGAGGGAGTGTAGACCTGGATCAGAGAGTTAAAGTAAGGAGGAGACGTTTCTGTGTCTGTTTTGTAAGCGAGCAGCAGAGTTTTAAATTTGATGCGAGCAGTAACTGGGAGCCAGTGTGAGGAGATGAACAGAGGAGTGACGTGCTGGTTTTGGGAGGAGACTACATGCAATCTTTGCAAGTGAAAAATAACTAAGTTGACTATTAAAGGAGCAGTATGTAACTCTGACCCCTAGTGTTTAAAATGGGTACTGCAGTCTAAATTCTAAACATTGTAGAGAGCTGTCTCCCCCCTCCTCTCTAGAGTGGATGCTCACTCAGGTCACCATGTGGTGGACTCTGAAGCTTCAGTGTTTATCCAGCTCTGCATGGGTCTGTAAACCTTTCTGTGTTCTAACCTCTCTCCATTTTTCAAAAGCATCTCCAATATTGATCCTAGTTTGAGCACGTTTCTGCTCGTGGAGCTTATTAGAAACATGCAGAGGCTTTTTAGGTCGGGTACAATCACTTCTATCTGAACCACTTCTCTTGACCGCTTCCATCGCTGCAACACCTGTTGACCTGATAACTGCTCTCATATCTGACAAACTGAGGGGCGTCCAAAAAAGGGCGTGTGGGGGGTCACCTTGAAACCGCCTACCTTCTCTGGTCCAAACAAATCCAGAGCATTCAGGAGCAGAATCTAAAGTTAGAAGGAGGACATACTGGCTGCTGCATTGTTGTCAGAGAAGCCAGCACTTCAACATAGCATGTTTCCTTAATGATCAGATAGTAAGATACCTTTATCATCTCACTCTCTACACAGCTCACTGATTGGACCTTTATTTACTCATCTATGCAGCTCATATGCCGACTCATCGTCCTGCATTTTCTGTAGAGCAGAAACATCACTAGCTTGTTCATCAGTTTTGGAGGGTTCTTGTCTTGCTCCTCTCTCTTCTGTATGATAGGACAGTGATGTTCTGCTTTGTGTTTCACAGGTGAGCTTGTTGGTCATAAAGACTTGGTGTCGGGCTTTTCTTTCTGTCAGCACGTCGGGCAGAGTCACATCTGTGTCAGCTCCTCCACCGATGGCTCCGTCCGCTTCTGGGACTCAGACGACAAGGTGCTCATAAGAGAGGATGCAGCTCATCAGGTGAGTGTTGAATTTCTTCTTTTCTGTTGCGTCATTGCAATATAAACAGTGAGGGGTTTACAACACGCTGGTGCCCCCTGCAGGCTGCAGTAGGCGCTGCACCATCTTCAGAGGTAATGAGGATGCAGCTCTCTCATTTGTGGAGCTGAAGCTCGTTTTTGTCTTCAGATGTTCAGACGTGAGGATGCAAGATCAATAAGTGAATAAATCAGACCGCGCTGTCGCACTCTGCAGCTCCACATTTCTGTGAGCAGCTGACAAACGGGGTCCCGGAGAGAGTGAATTTATCATCCACGCTGGACAGGATGTGCAGAGGACAAACGGCACAGAATCTCCTGAGGGTGTTTTTTGAAACAGTTGTCAGGGTTACAGAGGGCATTGCTTATTTATCTCCAGCGATTTGCTTGAAATTATGCCTTCAGGGATCATTTGTTTTCTGTTTAATCTGAAAAATGAAGCCTCACACACACACACACAGACTGACTGACAGGCGGTGGGATGTCCATCACTGAGGACAGATTGAGGCATTGAATGGATCTGAATCTCTGTGAATAAATGTTAAAAAATGAAGATGAAATAATGATTCACTGTGTTCTTATTTGGTGAAATGTTCAGCGGATAAAGTAAGACATTTGTCTAATAATTCTCTCCTCCTGTGGCAGACGTCCGTCACAGCGCTGCACTGGTCTCCACTGGATAAAAACCTGGTGGTGTCCGGTGATGAGAAGGGCATCGTGGTGTGTCACTGGTACAACACGGGAGACACCAGCAGCTTCTTCCCCGAGCCCCGGACCATCTTCTGCCTGAGCTGCTCCCCGCACACCTGGAGCTGCGTGGCTGTGGGGTAAGACGGAGGTCACAGAGAGGTCGCTCAGAGTCGCTCCGCTGCATCCAGAGATTCAAATCTAAAATGACCTCCTTCAATTGCATCCATGTTAATTAATTATATAAATGATGTCATCTGTTAATCAAACACAGAGTCAATCTCACCTCTCTGTGTAACTTTATAAAGATAGTTTATGGAAACTCTTGGCGGATTTAGCTGTTACTCTTCTGCACATTTTAAAGACCCTCTATAGAAAAGAAGAAGTCCTTAAAGGTGACATATTCTCCTCCTCTTCTTCAGTTTAAATAAGTCTCAGAGCTCCTCAAAACATGTGTGTGAAGTTTCTTGTTCTAAATCCACTCTGATGCTGTATTTGATCATGTCTATAAACCCCTCTATTTCAGCCCTGCTCAGAACAGGCTGTTTCTGTGTCTGTACCTTTAAATATGTAAATGAGCGGTGTCTGACCACGCCCCCTCTCTGGAAGGGCTCGGGTGTACTCGGTCTTTCTCGCTCCATGTCCTATTGTTTACGGTGAGAAGGCAGACTCAGAGGGCAGAACAAACACCTAGCTGTGGGAGTGTCACCCACCTGGGGGAGGGGCTACTGCCCTTTGTGATGTCATGAAGGGAAAATCTCCAAACAGCCTGTTTGAGCACACATTTTCTGAAAAGTGGAGCAGGAAGAAGACAGAGAGGATGGACTTTTCTCATGATTGGGGGGTTTGTAGACGGACTAGAGACACATATTAGAGTTAGAGGAACATTTTGAATAATATGTCACCTTTAATGTTTGTACGTAGGTCATTTTTGTCTCTGAAGCCTGAAAAAACCTCAATCGATCAAAAATATACTCAGACACAAACTGGCATCATTACAAACACTCTTTCTTTATATTTGTCTGCAGTAAGACTTTAAATCCAGACTCATCTCTGGAGCTCTCATGAGGAAATCTTTAATTTCACTTCAGGAATTTCAGAATTAAAACGTGGAGCCGTGTTTCTGGTGTCGTCGACGGTGGAAGAAGATCAAAACGTCTCAGTTCCAGAGAAAGGATGAATTTATCTGTCATCGTCTTTTTTTTGTTTTCCAAGGTACAAAGACGGGATGATCGTGCTGATCGACGTGAGCAGGAAAGGCGAGGTGATGCATCGTCTGCGCGGACACGACGACGAGATCCACTCGCTCGCCTGGTCGTCTGTACTTGGCGAGGACGCCCTCTACTGTCGATCTGAGGACGGTGACGGCGGCGGCATTGGAGTGTCTGCGGGAGACGGGAAAGGGTGCTACCTCGCCTCGGGGAGCAAAGACCAGACTGTGAGGGTCTGGAGCTCGACGAGGGGAAAAGGTGAGTCAGAGGAGGTCGGACTTTAGACTTCCTGTTACTTTAATTATTAAACTGAAAAACGCCTTCTCAAAGTATCTTAGGCGACTATTAAAGGAGCAATATGTAACCCCCCCCCCCCCCTGCAGCTGTGATGACTCTGAAGCTGCCATTCATGAAGAAAAGAGGCTCGGCCGTCGACCCCGGGGTCAAA